TAAGGATGTACGCAAATAATTTGAATAAGAGCATATAATTCATTTTGTTGAGCAGAATGGAATTTAGTGTAAAAGACTTATATTTTTTAAGAGACCAGAATGAAGCTTTGGTGTTTTTAGTCCCATCTATATAAAAGAAATGCGAGAAATAACAAATTCAGTGTTTTTGAAGAAATTCCATAGCTTACCAGAAGGATAATGAAGGGAAATTAAAAAAAAATATTCCAGAAAAGCTATTTGAAAATCGGTAGAAGTTTGTAATGTGTTCTCAACTTGAGATTTATTTGTAATAAAGTTTTATTAAAGTATAGAGGAGATAGAGAAAGCTTCTGACATAGGCATCAGAAGTGGGCTGAAAGAGTGCCCCCTGGCTAGTCTTTAGCCAGGTGTCATATAACTACTAGCAGTCTACTAATTAGAGAAAGGAAATGTTTCAAAACTCAGAAAATAGTACCAGGCCCCTCACCCACAACATGCATTTTGAGATAACCTTGGCACCAGGTGAGTTGTCCCGGGCCACAAAATGATTGACATGAATCTTGAAGAAAGGCAGATTAGCATACAAATAGTTTTGTTTACATAGATTAGGGGAACAATATCTGAGTATAACATACTGGTTTGTCAAGTAGGTTCTGAGCCATTAGGCAGAACCAACTTGAAGACAGAGTCTGGGGTAAATGTATAGCACATTAACATAGCTTAAGACAAACATTTCCATAAGAAAAATGTATTGGCTAACTCAGGTTTGAGAATAGTTAACTTTAAGTGAAACCAGGTGTCATTATGGCAACACAGTATTTTAAGAGAAACCTCCTTTTAAATTTGTATAGAGAAGGAAAAAAAGAAGAAATATTGCTAGTTTGTTTCCTCCTGCTGCTTAAGAGAGATTAAAAATGTCTGACACTTGCAGCCTATTGTCTCCTTTTGGAGACCTCTGGCCTTCCTGGGGCCGATCAAACTAGATCGGCCAAGTAAAAGGCCGAAGGTTTGTGGGGGCAGGGGCCCAAAAAGTCCAGTAGGTATTCTAGAGGGGACTGCTTGAGGGTAAAGGAGAAAGTCATTTAGGGCTGGTATATCGACGGTAGCACTGCCGAATGGTGAGGGTTTGAGGAAAAAGATGGAATTTGCCCCTGGTTTTTGTTGAAGAGGACCTGGGGGGTCTCCTGCTTGGAGTGTCCCGGAATAGGTTTCCCTTCAATATCAAATTTAGATTTACACTCTTTGGCCCAATGCATTTTTCTATGGCAGTAAGGGCTGATTTTTGGAGGTTTTTTTTGTTGTTGTTTTTTTTTAGCTTTCTTAGGGCAGTCTCTTTTTATTTTTTAATTTTTTATTATTATTTTTTTATTAGTTGGAGGCTAATTACCCTACAATATTGTAGTGGGTTTTGTCATACATTGACATGAATCAGCCATAGATCTACATGTGTTCCCCATCCCGATCCCCCCTCCCACCTCCCTCTCCACCCGATCCCTCTGGGTCTTCCCAGTGCACCAGGCCCGAGCACTTGTCTCATGCATCCAACCTGGGCTGGTGATCTGTTTCACCCTAGATAATATACATGTTTCGATGCTATTCTCTCGAAACATCCCAACCTCTCCTTCTCCCACAGAGTCCAAAAGTCTGTTCTGTACATCTGTGCCTCTTTTTCTGTTTTGCATTTAGGGTTATCATTACCATCTTTCTAAATTCCATATATATGTGTTAGTATACTGTAATGGTCTTTATCGTTCTGGCTTACTTCACTCTGTATAATGGGCTCCAGTTTCATCCATCTCATTAGAACTGATTCAAACGAATTCTTTTAATGGCTGAGTAATATTCCATGGTGTATATGTACCACAGCTTCCTTATCCATTCGTCTGCTGATGGGCATCTAGGTTGCTTCAATGTCCTGGCTATGCTAAACAGTGCTGCGATGAACATTGGGGTGCACGTGTCTCTTTCAGATCTGGTTTCCTCGGTGTGTATAGGGCAGTCTCTTTTTAAATGGTTCTTATCTCTACATGTAAAACATCCTTCATTTACCTTTCTTAAGGCATTTCCCTTTCTTGTTTTAGCTAGCATTTGCATCTTTTGAGTTTCTGATCTTATATTGCAACAAGCCTTCAAATAATCAAAAATAGTCCCTGTCTCACGAATTGGGGCTATAGCCCTTTGACATTCCTGATTTGCATTTTCATAAGCAAGTAATTTTCCTAGTTGCCTTTTAGCTTCTTCTCCAATTACTGTACAGGAAATAGCAGTTTCTAATCTAGCAAAGAAATCAGCATACGTTTCATTGGTCCCTGCAATATGTTAATGTAGCTACCTGTAGGCTCCCCTTGAGGAGTAATTTGATCCCAAGCTTCAAGGGCCACTGGTTTTAATTGATCATGCAACAAAAGAGGGCATTATATTTGAGCTTCTATAGCATCAAATTGTTCGGTGCCAGTTAGCATCTCAAAAGTAATTTGATTTCGGGGAGTGCTAGCTTGAGCATTTCTGTTAGCATGATCTCTGGCTATATCTTGAAACCACATTATCCATTGAAGATACTCTCCTGTTTTAAGGAGAGCTTTTATTAAAATTTGCCAATCATAGGGAATAAAGGTTCCAATAGAAGATGCCATAGCATTTAGAATCTCTCTAGTAAAAGGCAAATGTGGGCCATACATAATTACAGCCTTTTTCATTTGTTGCATGTGAAAAATGTTAATACCTTCATATTGAGGTATTATCTGCCCTTGAGCATCAGCATTTCTTAAAACTGGAAAGGCAGAAAAACCATCGGCTTCAGAGATGTGTGATTGCAAAGCCAGCAGTTCAGAGAGCCTCTGTCGCGAAGGGGGTAGATTATTGTTATTCAGAAAGGTGTTGTCGGTTTTAATGTTAAAAGGTGTCTTAAGGGAGTCGTTGCCAAAATCATTAGGTTCTATCAAGAGAGACTTTGGGATTTGTGCCTGCTGGCAGGGGAGGAGCACTTGGAACAACCAGAGCAGGGTTAGTAGGAAAATTCTGAAATATCTTGTGTTGTTCTAATTTTGCCTTTTGTAAGGTATCATCGTCTAATTCATATTCATGTAATAAGTGTTCTGCCTGTTGCCGAATATCAGGAGTGTTAGAATTTCCTTGAAATAGCAGAATCACAGCTTCAATGAGAGCCCATAGGGGCCAGAAATCTATTGGAACTACCTTCATTAGGGAAACAAGGGTTACATTCAACCACTGTCTGAAGGCAAGCCTCTATTCGCTGGCGTGAAACCGAAAATCCCTGAGCATGCACCAAGAAAGGCTTATCTCAAAAAGAGGTGTGTGTCTTTTGTCTAAAGTGAACCTCTAAAACTTCTTAAGCCCACATAAGGGCCTTTCATATTAATTATGGTTAATACATGGGGGACTCAGTGCTAAAGAATCACCTGCAGTGCAGGAGATGTGGGAGATGCAAGTTCAATAACTGGGTCAGGAAGATCCCCTGGAGGAGGAAATGCCAACCCACCTCAGTGTTCTCACTGGGATAATTCTATGGACAGAGGAACCTGGTGGCCTGCAGTCCACAGGATTGCAAAGTCAGACACGACTGAATTACATTAACTACATTAACACAGAAACACACACACACACACACACACACACACACCCCTAGCATGGCATGAACCAAACAGAACCAATCTGAAGCCTTTCAAGTGACACTACAAGGATAAATTTCTATTCGGACTGTTCTTTCATTAAACATCAGTGACAAAAGGCCTTGTGCCTGTTTTCTTTGTTCTAGCGATAAGGAATACTCTGTGTTACTATGTGATAATACATTTGTAAATATCAAAACCAGAGACATGGAAAAGGGTTGTGGATACCTTATACTAACTTCACTTTAACAGACCTTTATCAAGCACCCATGAAGAAGAAACACAATGCTTTAGGATAGATGAATAGAAGCCTTTAACTTCTCAACTATTCAGAAGCTCACACTTTCGGGGAGATACACTCATAAATAAATAATGTTAATATACTCAAGGATATGAGATGAACTAGCACAGAAAATAGGAAAAAGTGTTGCTGCTAACTAGCAAGCATTCAAGTGGCCTTAACTAAACATAGAAATAAGGTCTTCTACCCTCAAACCCCTGGTACTCTCCTTCTCTGATCTTCTACTCTGCTCAAATACCACTTTACATTTTTCCTTCAATAAGTTCCAGATATCAGGACCATTTATTCTTTCAATTTTCTTTAAAGGAGGATGTATTTCAGACCTAGATAAAGGTACAGAGATTACAACACCCAGGCAAGCATCACGCATCTTAAGAAACAAAAGATTACAAATAAAATTTAAATCCAATATACCTCTCCCCAGTTGAATTCTCCCTCTCTTCCATGAGATTTAACCACTGTCTTAGAAAGTTTATTGTTTTCATACACACCTTTATGCATGCTACATATGCATGCATCACTCCCATGTATATTTTTTACTACAAATATATGAACCTATAATCAATAGAAGAATTTTTGCATGTTTTTAAACTTCATATATGCATGGTATCATGATGCCTTTATCCTTTTGGAAGTAGGTTTTATCTATTTGTCACTTCCACCCCTGAATCTTTGCCCCTTGTTATAAGCTGAATTTTATCCCCCTGAAAAGGTATGTTGAAGTTTTTTTACCCCTTGAACCTGTAAATGTGACCTTATTTGGAAGTAGGGTATTTGCAGGTATAATAAAGTTAAGATGAGGTCATACTGGATTAGGGCGGGCCCTTAATTCAGTATGACTGGTATTCTTTTTTTTTTTTTTTTTATAACTAAAGAACATTTATTTGTTTTTCACCAAGACTTTATCTTGAGGACGTAACTAAACTGCACCTCCACTCCCCACCCCAATTTGAAGGAGGATTAGTACAGTGGATGTTATAAAGCAGGTATGAACAGTTTGAGGGACTGGAACCAACGTTAACTGACAAAAACCAACTTCCATCTAAATCATCATAAAAATGTTTAAGTAAAAAAAAGGGGGGGGAACTCAACTATTTCCCAGCCTGTTGGGCCTGTCGACGGAGGAGCACATAGATCTTCTCTTTAATCCAATCTTTGTTATAAGGCTGGTATGTCTGGGTATCAGCTCGGTAAACAAGGCAGCTGAGGTCTGCCAGGTCATCAATAAAATCAAACAACTGACTGATATCATATGTGATAGAGGGGCTGTTGGGGTTCATTCTCTTCAGATGTTCTTCATACATTTTACAAACACCTTCCATACACTCATTCACAGATTCATAGTCAGCGTAAGTTCTGCCTTCTGGCCTCTTGGTAGGCTGTACCAGCAAGATGGTGTGAGACATCGCGCCAAAGTCTCCCGCTGCAGCCGATGCCGACTCCGCCGCCACACACTATGACTGGTATTCTTATGAGAAGAGAAAGGACACAGAAACAGACAGGGGAAAATGCTATGTGATGATGGAGACTGGAATCATGTATTTACAAGGCAAGTGTTGCCAACGATGGACAGCAACCACCAGAAATTAGGAGAGAGGCGTGAAACAGATTCTCCCTCAGAGCCTCTGGAAGGGACCAACCTTGCTGATACCTTGACCTCAGACTTCTGGCCTCCAGAACTGTGAGATAATGTATTTCTGTTGTTTTAAGCCATCTGGTTTGTGGCAATTTGTTATGGTAATCTTAGGACACTAACACACCCCTCCCAGAGTTCTTTGTGTCTCAAGCCCCTAAGAATTCTAGTGTCTTCCTAAGTCCAGATCTTACCACCCTGTTTTGTTTACCTGCAACAGTACCAAGTCAGTGAATTAAGGATGATCCTGCAGTGGGTGTAGTAAACCTTTCCCCCACTGCTCTAAAGCAGTGGTTCTGAAACTTCAGTGTGCTTCAGTAGCACCTGAAGGACTGTAAAACCCTGATGGCTAGCAGCCTACCTTCAGAATTTCCAACTCAGTAGGTCTGGAGCATGGTCTGAGAATGTGCACTGCAAACAAGTTCCCAGGTGATGCTGATGCTGCTGGTCCAGACAAGCTAGGTCATCCATCAGTTTCTTTCAGTAAAATATAGTAGAAGGCTAGGGCACCATCACACAAATTATTTTCAACCCTATATTTTAATTTATTTGGGGCTGCAATAAAAGGATTTAAAACAGACTTGACAAATCGCTGAAAGAAATCCCTTTCAGTGACAGTAAGGTGGGCCAAAATAAATAGAACAATGATAGATTTGAGTCAGTGTTATTTATGTGAAAAAAAAAACACTATAGCTTATTAATTTCAAACAAGCTTTTATTTCCAATGTGAACAATACTATCAAATTATTTATAAAAGGTAAGAGTCAGTAGTTAATATCATTTTGGGGTGTTGAAACTTTGAAACAAAATTAGTATTTTAGGCTAATAAAAACAAGAATATCCATGAAGAACAAATTCATCTTTTCTTTTGCTGTCTGCTTCTTTCTATGCCTTCCCACTGTAGGATGAATAAGAGCTAATTAACAATTGTACCCCAATAACATGCTCCAGTGACTTTCTAAATATGAGTCAATACTATGTACATCTATTTTCTCAATGAGGAGAAAGCAAAATGTTTTCTTCTTGTAAGCCAGACCCTTGCTGATCAGGGTGCACATCATTTCATCACACCAACCTTATCTCCCTGTTGCCTACCACTATAAATGCTTGTTTGTTGGTTGTTTTTTTTTCCATGAAAGGCCACTCTGTGATTGATAACCAATAATATCACTATGACTGATTTTCTTTTCTTTTGAATAAAAAATCTAAATTGACCTAATATTTGTGAATTAATCCTGAAATGCAGTCCTCTTGAAACCCTTAACATCTTACTACTTTGTAAGGAATCACTTTCTCAAAGTCATTGTCAGTACAAGAGACTACAATTCTGTGACCAGTTGATGATGATACAGCTAATGGACGACCTAGTCACTTTAGCTGCTGCTTCTGGTGACGATTCCCTAAAGAAGCACTGGTCTCCATTTCCAGGTCTGATAAATTTCCTATCTGTAGTAGACTTAAAGCTACAGGACAAAGGTCTCATGGCTATAAATGAAATACATTTCAGAACATACTGTCTCCTACATTATCTAGAATACATTAATAACAATAAACTATTTTTTCCAAAATTAAATTTCAACAATTTTCTTATTTACTTTACAGAAGAAAAATTTAAAAATATAAAGCTGTTAGTAACAGGTATGTGTCAGGAATGATTATGTCATACTAAAGCCTATACAATAATACCTGTATTATCCAGCGCTGCCCTTTGCTGAGACCACATCCATTTCGAGTTCTTCTTCAGGTTTTTCAGTTCCATCCTCTTCCTCTTCATCAGTGTTTTCATACTGATACTCACCCTCATCATTAGGGCAGAGTGATGCAGACTTTGGGGTCAAAAGTTGGCAGGAAAAATATCCCAACTTAAAATCAGCAGCAGAGTCTAGGCCTGAGCAAAGAGAAATATGTTTAAAAAAGAAAAAACAAATAATAGCTGGACATGTTTCTACTGGTTAATACATTTCTAGTCCCACCCCACCCCCCATTTCTGCTGCCTGACAATTTTCACAAACATTTTCCCCCTCTTTCCAGTAGATCTCACACACTATGCTTCTGATTATTTCTGGCCCCTTTGGAGAAGGGATCCGACTCATTTGATACTGATACCATTTTGCATGTGTTTGTCAGAATCTCAATGAAAATGTTCGTTTGATTTAAAGACAAATTCTATGGGGAAGCTCACGGATTCCTCAACTGCTGAAAAGTGCCCCTGTGCTATGTTATCACTTTCTCAGATCCTCCTACTGAGAATCTTCACATTTTTTAAAGCCGTTGACCAAAAGGGAGGGATGCCATTTGTTTGCCCCTGGGTTGGTAGAAGGCAGCATGCTTTATTTTGAGACCATAAAGGTCTATAGAAATGAGCTTCCACTTGTGCTGCCTTAAAGTTGTGCCTGGAGGTTTCTGAGAGCTTTGACCCACTGCCTAACCGCTAGAGACCTGCCTTTGAGCTGGATGACCCCACAGTGGCTGCAAGGGCCTGAAGGCTCAGCCACCACTTGCCCGCCTCGGCCCCTCCGGGGCCACAGGCCTCAACCTCCCAGTCTCAGAGGCAGCTGTCAGGGCTCCCTCGCCCAGAACTCGGCCTCCACCGCCGGTTCCCCTGCCTTCTAGGATGCAACCCCCTCCGCAGGATCCCGCAGCTCCCAGGGTGGAGCGCCCTCCACTGGGTACTCACCCTGCAAGACTTTGCCTCCCTCTCCCAGGTCTTCCTGCTCCTGAGGAGGCACGGGACCTTCTCCAGGGTCCGAGGGTGGCTGGGAGCGGCCCCTGGCCATCAGGCGGTCAGCGTGAGGCCGGAAGAGGACATGTTTGTTGTTATGTAAATCGCGTAGAAAGGAGTCGGATCTGCCTCCAGAACAGGGGCCCAAACCTCCCCGCAGAGAACCCAAGGCCTGTAACCACTGCCGCACCCTCCTGCTCATTCTCGTCCTCCTCTTCTGTGTCCTCCTCTTCCTCGACCTCTCCCGACAGGTGCTGCTCCTCCTCCTCCACGTCCTCCAACTCGAAATGAGCCTCACTCTCTTCCTCGTCCTCCTCCATCTCCTCTACATCTTCCTCCATCTCCTCCTCCTCTAACGGCTCTCTATCACATTTCTCTTCCACTGTGGCCTGTGGCCAACCCTGCTCCCCGGGAAGGGCTCTGGAGACCTCCAAGGAGGCCAGAAGAGCCGTGGCCTCCTCGACTCCTTCCATCCCCTCCCAAGCGGATGCCTGGACCCCAGGGAGACTGGGGTCGCGGCCCGCCCCGCCACCAGCTCTATCCTGGCCACCTGGGATCCAGTCGTGCTCCTCTGTGGCAGACATGGCAGGCCAGACGTGCCAGACAGTGATGGGCCTGCAGTGACGTCTGCGGGGAAGATGGCGGCCTCAGGGCTGAGTGTCGCGCCGAGGAGACGCTGTTGGCAGTGGGACCGCAGGGTGGGGGTGGGGACAGCAGAGACTATGGCTGCACAGGGAACAGGGGTTTGCGAAGGTGCTAGTATAGGCACCTCCCGCGACAGGAACATCAAGGGGGCGGCTTGCAGACCGGCCCGCCAAGACCGAGGCTGAGGTGGTGGCGGACAGGTGGGAAAGACCCTGATGGGCTGGCGGCGGTACGTGGAGCTGGAAGGGTCAACCGGGGACCACTTCCTCCAGCGCCAGCTCTAAGTTCATCTGCCAGGAGGCAAGGATTGGCATGACCACTGTCCAATAAATGATCAAGGCTTTGAAACTGCAGGGAAGCCTTCCAGCCCCAGATCATACTTTGAGCCCACAGGTGTCCCTTCCTTTACATTGCACCTTTACAAAAACAAAACGGCAATGTCCCTATAGGGCGGCACCCTGGGGTATGGGAACCTGGATGTGGTGCCCAGTTGCCACCCTGTGTCAGCTCAGGCCACCAGAGATACGCTTATTTTAAAAAGTTAATAAAGGCTCGCTAAAGCCTTGAGAAAGAACATTAAAAGAAAGAGATGGAGAAATTGGAAAACAAACTGAATTAAACAGGAGCACTGAATATGAAATAGAAAAAGTGAAACAAACTAAATAAAAGTTAAAGATCATCATATAGTCCAGTTGTTTTTAAGCATGGCTGCTCATTAGAAACATGTCCGTAGGTTGGGAGAATAAAAGCAATACCGTGGCATTTTTCAAAAAATTCCACGATAATTCTGATGTGTCAGAATTTTAAAAAGTGATTATAGATTTTTCTATTAAATGGTAATTTTGGTAATATAAAATTCTATTACTTTTCTGTTGACCAATCATGTTACAATGGTATTAAGTGAATAATAGTTGCATACTCACTAGTATGTATAATATATATACTTTAGAAAACGTATTGTTTGCCTAACTAAAAAATTTATGACATTTTGATTCCTCTTGTTTGAGTTAGTATAAACAGAATGATAGATTTATAATTTTTAAAAAAGGTATGCAACCAGCAACAAAGGTTTACTGCATAGCACAGGGAACTGTAGTTCCTTTGTCAGTCTCTTGAAATACCTTTAATGGAAAATAATCTGAAAAATAATATATGGGTATATGTAAAACTGAATCACCTTGCTGTGCACCTGGAACATTGTAAGTCAACTATACTTCAATAAAAAGAATATATATATTAAGAAATAAAAAACTAGAAAGTGTTTAGATCACATACAAACAACTGTTTAAACCTCCTGTGAGACAGAAAGAGAATTTGGAGGTTTTAATGTTGTTAAAGGTACTTAGAAAAGAACGTACAAGTTGACATGGATGCAGTGAGAATGGAGAGTGGAAGGAGTAAAACTAGGAGCTGAAAAGGGATTCATCAGGGCTCCCCAATTCAC